GAAATGACATCCACACGCGAACCCCGGACACCCTCCTGAAGAACGATGAGAAGACAATGAGACAATAACACGCATGAAAGAGCAGATAGCTGAGAGATATGAGTGTGTGTGTGTATATACTCATATATAACTCAATTGATCAGATGTTCTACGTTATTTTCTGTCATTTTAATAATCAGCTAAATGACTAAATGGGGGCTATTGGTTTAACGCATTAATCTAATTAATTAGTTACGGAAAAAAATTACCTGTTAAAATTCTTCTACACATCAAAGTACCGCGAGATGAAAGCACGCAGAGCGTCTACTCTCTCTAGAGCTCTCGCGATACTTTGATGTCATCGATCGCACCTTTACAGCTGACTGGTGATGAACATGAAGCAGGACAACTCACTGCATGAGTTATATCAGAGATTGTCTTACTATGGGGAGATGAGAGGGTCTGTACTATTGGAGAAATCGTAACGGTTAGCTTGGATCACGTGTGCCTTAATAAACAATCACATTACAGCCTTGACGTCACTGAATTTCAGTCAGAGTTGTGCGACACTCAATCGCTGTTTACGGATCCCATAGGAATGAAGGAGAAGTGCCATAAGCTGTATCCTACCTGTCGCAAAAAGTCAGTGACTTCTCTTATAAAACGGCCTTTTTTTCGGTGTCAATCCAAAAGTATTGCTTAGTGTAAAACAGGTTGGAGATTAGCTGATAGGCTGTCGATTCATTAAATTATAAGCTGTTTCCTCTAAAAAGCTGCTTATTCAGCATAGTGAAGCCTCTCCTCCATTGACATCTATTTAAAAAAAAAACCGCCTCTGGTCTCCTTTCCCACGCACTGGCAAACCGGAAGTGTTAGCATTAGCCATTATGCATTTTTGGCTAAAGGTTGCAGGCTTGCCTTCTAGTGGCTTTGGTTATATGCCCCTAACATTCAAGAGAATTGCCCCTGTATGAGTTTTTGTCTCATATAGTTAAGCAATATCACACGAGCAACGAGTGCAGTATCACACGAGTGCTGTTTTTGTCCCAAATAGCAAATGTAATACTGATTTTATACAACAGTTCAGTAAATAAGAACTTAATATTGTGTTATATTTTAGACATAGTATTGTCACGAATTGTTTGAACGAATCGGCTGAACCAATGATTCAATGGGCCATTCATAAAGAGAGCCATTTACTTCATTCCTGAATGAATCAACCATTAGAACGAATTGAATGAATAAATGAATGAATGACTCAATGAGTTATTCATTAAAACATTTACTGCCTCCTACTGGCAGTTTTAGTTACTTATTTAGAGCATATTAAAAAAAAACATATTTACATTATAAAGGGGTCATATGATGCTTTTTTAAAGATCATTATTTTGTGTATTTGGTGTAACAGAATATGTTGACATGCTTTAATGTTCAAAAAACACATAAAGGAAAACTTGAAATCGCATCATATGACCCCTTTAATAAATAATCTGAAAATAAAATAAAAAAAATTAATAAAAAACTACTTAAAGGGATAGTTTCATGGTTTTCTCAAGTAACACAATAGTGTTAAATGATCTTTTGTGGGTAATTCCTCTAACAAATCTGATGTGTAATTAACATGCAATTAATTAGATTAATTAATCACTACATCGTGTAATTAATTAGATTAAACGTTTTAATCGATTGACATCCCTAGACTAAATGTCAATCATCAGAACTCAATCAAACCCCTCGGTACAGAAGAACCTTCAGGAAACAGTGGCAATGTGAATCTAGTTCTGACAGAAACCCTTCACACTCGCTACAGGCCGCTTTGCGTTGGTTTGGGTTCATCCTGCAAGTATGAAGTCCCTGCGCTTTTGACTGAACATCTCTGTGTTCTTCATCTCGTCTCTTTATTGCAAAAAAGTCAAAGTAAAAAGTGTGTGCTCTGCTTGCCAAACATACTCTAACAGTTTGTAACTTCCCATGGTTCCGGCGTGTGCGGCCCCAGATGATCTGAGGATCGCATCTAATGCATCAGAAACGCGCAGCACATTAACACGGATTAAAGGCTTTAGAGATTCCACAGAATTCACCATCAACAATATGACATTCTGAGCGCCGAGCACATGCAGCATCTGAATATGCACAGCATCCTGCTGTTGTTTCCAGGGAAACGCTCGTGTTGTAATTGTTGCGACGGGGCTCAGATTGATGCGTTAGTGCGCGGCCGCCCTCACCTGCACACGGCCCTCGTGCACTTCACCATTCTGCTTTCTAACCAAAGACACGTCCTGAAACACTGAGCGGATCTCCAGACAGACAGGCCACCGTCTAGCTTTCTGTCTGTCTCTCTGGCTCAGCAAAGGAAAGAGAGGAGAACATCAGATCGTTTCTCACCCTCTTTATCTTGTCTCCACTTCTTTTAGCTCCTATTATATTCAGCCAAATTCTGTTGTGCAGTTGGACACAGAGCCAAACAGAAGAGAGAGAGAGTCTAGAAGTTCCACCGTTCCAGTCTCTCTCTCCTTTTTGTGGAACTGGGTGAAAAATTGATGTGCCAGCTGCCTTTGCCAGTCATTAACATTTCTATTTGAGAGAAACTGTAGCGAGAGCCTCCTTCTCTACCTTCAGCTCACCCACGCAAAACCTCAGCTGCTGCGCCCTGAATTATTCTGTTTCGCATTATCCACTAGCGCATCTCAGAGGTGAGACGGAGAGAGAGAGACAGACGGAAACAGAGAGAGAGAGAGACCCGTGAGTGTTTGCTCTGCAGATGCTGATTCTCTCTTTCTATTCAGATGAGGAGCGTTAGAGTCACGCCAGCAGATGAGCGTTTGACTGAAGGTCAGCAGAGCCCATAACACACACACAGACCTTACAATACATATGAATTATACATACAATGCACTGCAAAAGCTGTTCTCACTCACTATCTCTGTATTGATTTCCAGTACAAATATCTGAACACTTAATGACATAAGAAGTCAGAAAAACGAACCTGTTTTCCCTTTTAAAGTGCCGCTATTATACCACTTTGAATATTGCCTTTCGTTCAGTGTGTAATGTAGCTGTATGTGCATGTAAACGATCATAAAGTCGAAAGCACATGATGAATACAGTTATTGTCTCCCAAAAGAAAGGATCAACTCTGAACAGCCTAAACGAGTCGTCAGTACCACTTCTGTGACAGCTACAGGTCACTGCTAACACATCTGCATAATGATGTTCTACGAACACCTCGACCTTTCACATCCTGTCGAGAGACGCTGTGTATTTTCACTTCCAAAAGATGAGGCTGCAAAGAATTAGTGTTTAAATTCACAGCAATCTTTTTGTGTTCCCGTCATTTTACTGACAACCGCTTCAACCGCTTCGCTAATCTCAAGGAGTTCAACATGAGATTCACAAACACTTGCTCTTGAAAGATGAATCAGTACCCAGATTATTTGGACCTGCTGGCTCCACTGAATCACCACCTGTAAGTTTGATAAATAATATGTTATATTTTCTATCGATCGTTCAAAATATGTAACTATGGCAATGGCCGTATCGTTTCCGACATGCGGTGCACTTGGTAGACCAATCACAACAGACTGGCCCATCTGACCAATCAGAGCAGAGCAGGCTCATGGAGAGGAGGGGTTTAGAGAGACTGAATCTCAGAACTGCTTCGAACGAATCGTTTGAGAATCGCTGGAAATTAAATTATTTATTTTTTTGACCCCACTGGCAGATATTGGTTATTTATTTCAAAACATTTCTCAGAAAAAAAAGATTTTGCCTCTTCAGTATCTTGATTTAATAATGTTTAGATATTTTGACTAGATAACAAGACAAAGATACTGAGGAAGCTTTTTTGCTTAAAAACACAATTCGTAATCGCGAATATTGTCATTTAAAAAATTTATTTCAACAGAATAATTGCAATAATTGACTGTCAACTCTCATGGTCTGCTCGCAGATTTCGTCGCAGCAAACGGCATAAACGACCGCATGAAAGAAAACAGACTGACTGTATTACACTTTTCTCACTTTTTTCTGAATATCTCAATAGAGATCACTAAACTCCAGCGTACATGTTGCCAGGTTGGGAAGGTTAAGTAAACCACTGGGCAGAAAATGGATCGATTTAAGAGAAAACTTTGTTTCAGGATAAATAACCAGCAACGGTTAGGATCAGACCAGCAGTTATGCTTAATAAATCGAGAGAAGCAGAAATCGTGATCACAATTAAAACACGATTCATTGTGCAGCTCTATCTGAACTGAACCAACCCTGAATTGAATTCATCTGAATAATGACACTTCTGTCTTTTAGAGCTGCTTTACAGCATAATCTGTTATACATTTTCCTGTTTATCACTGTGAAGCTGCTTCGACACAATCTGTATTGAATAAAGCGCTGTAGAAATAAAGATGACTTGACTGTTTGCAG